ATGTGGCAGCAACAAACACTGCCCTTTCCACGAGCCCGTGCATTGCAACAGGCGTAATGTTCGCAAAAAACTGCACCGCCACGAAAACACCAACCGTCGTTGCCAAATTCCAGCATTGGTAGAGTTGCGAAGTCATACTGACCACATTCGTGATGTGGCCGAACGCGTCGTGGAGGGTGTGCCCTCCAGGACAAGCGTTTCTGCACGGCTCACCAAAAAGGGTCATTTGGGTGATGACAGACCAGACAACGTTAGCCTGTTTACAGGGCAGCTGGGAGCCGTGTAATTGCATGTCACGCGGTATACCCTGACATTATAAATGCTTCTTTACAAACATGTGACGATTGTTTAAAGTATATGCAAGAAACCATCGTAAGTACAAAATCAGAGTCAATTCTGTGTTAGCAAGGTTTTTGTTACCTGTTTTGTGCGTTGTATATCTAGCTCCATATGTGAAGCTATATTTTGAACTTGCGATACCACACCATGAATAGCATGATGCTATTTTGTTTTGGTCATGAGACCATAAAGTAAACAATTTTGGATTGAAATAAACTCATGTTAGGTTCGTAGCCGTCCATGCGAACTAGACAAAACACCGTTTGGCATGCATGTCTCTGCGAGACCCATTCATCAGTGTCGTCAATATCATGTTTAGCATGCAGAAAAAGGCGTCTGGGCTTTTGTTTGGACGGGCAACCAACGCGCCATACAAAGAGCAGTAACACAAGAAGGTGGGCCTGTCTTGTAAACGGAAAACAGCCGAAAAGTTATATAGCTGCTGTGTAGTATCGATAGTAAAAGCTAGGAATCAGCCTTGCCCAGCTTGACCTACGATGACTGTAGGATGCAAAAGTAGCACCCTTAGATAGGGAGAGCTGCCACGTGTAGGCAGTAGCACACATCAACAGAAAACGCCGCCACGTATGTAGAGTGCATGCGAGTACAGACCGGTGGTTATGTTCGTAGAACACGAGTAACCGGGAGTCAGACCTAAGTCACAACAAGGGGTCCATTCAGACCAGCCACCTGCGGCTACGTCAAAATGTCTCTTGAGTGTCTTGGAGCAACACTGTGCCTAAGGCAATGCGGTGATCAGTGCAATAAAAGTCAAATAGCTATAAAAAAATGTGGCATAGTATCCAGGAAATGCTACAGTTATCCACTTTATGGCTCCTCCATCTAAAAGGTGCCTGAATTGTTGGCATAACTAACCCTTTATGTATTGAGAGTGCAACCGAACAATGCGAACGTTAGGCGAACATTTCTGTTTGGAGCGTACCGCGACGATCATGATAATGACGCAGATCGTGCTATCTACAGACGAATAATTTTCACCGAAAAGTACGCCTAACTCCTCTTGAAGCTACTGCAACGATGAATATTTGTGTTCCTCCGTGTCATGACAATGTGGTCTTGCTGGTGTAGCGTTCGGTAACTATTTGTTTTTACATTCTTCCTTTGTTTTCTACAGCATCTCGCGTTACCTTTTCTCATTCGTCTAGACATTAGCTGTACATTTGTGGGTAATTATATTTTTAAAGCTTGGAATCCGTTTATATTTTTGTCAGAGTAGAAAGTGTGTGCCAGCTTCGACGCAGAGATGTCTCCAGTTTCATATATTTACGTCCAATTTCTTGCGTCTGCACAAAAACCAAGCACACGAACGGGTGAAACAATTGTTCACCTTTACCCAGATTTCGAGTCCAAATGGGAATCATTTGATCAGTGCCGTTACACCAAGATATCCCCGCCGACGGCAACACATGAGGCCCTTTTCCCACAGTACGACAAACTTGCGAATGTTAGCGCGTTTCTGCCGACCCCGAGACGGGGACGGCACAGCCGCTGGCCGACGGCTCGTCCTCAGGCGGCGTCTTTAGAGGCATTTGAGAATCCACCTGGATGGAACATGTGGGAAGAGCTTGTAGTTGATGATGGTGCACGTCCGGGGGAAACGGCAAGCGGGCAGGCAGGGCACGCGGCACACGCCCTTGCAGCACTTCAGGTGATGGCGACATTGGTAGTCGTGGTAGCACCGCGGTATTCCACTCAGAGGACGAATGATGATCAGCAGCTTCGGGCAGCTCCCCGGCTTCAGCCTAATAGCCTCTGGAAAAAGAGAAGGCAGGTTGGTATCCCACCCACTGGTGCAGGAACTGCGGTGGGTATTACAAATGGCTGTCAAATTTGTCCCCTGTTTGGTAGGCTAGAATCGGAGAAAACTATCTGTTGCTATAGAAACAGACTTAGGGCTTCTGGCGTCATCAAGAAGGTATGCGAATACAAATCCGCGATGTAGTTGCAGCCTGACTGCCTAGATCAGACATGTGCTGTTGGGAAGGTAAATTACCAACAATGCTTCTTTAGAAGGGTGATGACTTCATTTAGATGGGTTTCTGGGCCCACCACCTACTCTAAGCAGTACTTTTTCCTGAGCCACGGCTCCACTATCCCATCATGAAATAGTGGGTCAACAGCACAGTTTCCCGGCGAAAGTTTGGCGTTCCACATGTGCTCGGCTCGTTCCGTCCCTCCTCTGACGTCACTTAACCTTAAGCCCATCTCGCGCCACGGCCTGCCGGCCATCCCAACCACAGGCAAACAACTAGCGCCTAAGGCTATATGAACCCATTCTGCATTGGGTGGGTGAATAAAAAATCAGGTGCCCTAACCACTGAAGTTTTTGCAGTTGGCATATCGTTTTAAAGTGACCTCAGGAGGAGTCTAGCCTGATTTTTCATGATCCTTAAAAGTCTGCATTTGTTACCATTATCACCAATGGCTTTTAATGACGGTCTCACTGCACTGAACTCTCAGAAATATACGAGCCATCAATGTGCTCCTACCCAATCAGCTTGGACATCTGAAATATTATGACAACACGTATCTGCAGTGGGTGACACAAGTCATCTACCAACCAGCTTAAAATTTCGGGCTGAGACTCATTTGCTGTCATGTTTGTTGTTGATGAAGAATGAATGCTAGCAATTCCTACCCATTCAGTATCCAAACCGAGGCAAACGTTCCCCTCGCTGTAAATGTTGGTCATTTTTTGCGTTGCTGAAAAGCTGGTGAAATGTATTGCAATTATTGCTTTAGGACCAGAGTATTCACTACGCATAGCTGTTGCAAGGGCCTTAACTTGGCCAGCCCAATAGAGAAGCTCTAACCGAAGAACATATTTTGTTCAGATATCTTAACTTCAGCCGCATAACCTAACCCGGCCACGCTATGCCAGCACCGATCGCCCAGTCACCGCTCTCAACGAACCAAATAATTGAGCAGTTACTTGAACCCGAGTCCACGTGATATTCTCTTCCCCACTGGTTAGATCCGGGGCTCCTCCAACTGAGTTAAGAAAAAGGGACTCGAGCCGCTCGATAAATCGTGCTTTTTTCCAATGAGGACCCACGAGTTGCATTGAAGAAGCCGAAGTCATGAAAACTCGGTGTATTACCACGATTTTGTACCAACATTCGTCGCACCCTGTGATATGTTATCCTACCTTTCCTTTCATTTTCACGTCCAGAATCCCTGCATGCTCCCTCAACGCAGCTCTAACCTGATGGCAAAACACCGAACTCAACAAGAGCTTTGCTCTCCCTCCATCTCCACTCACCTACGGGGCTGCTCACCAGCACCAACGCCAGGACCAGTGCTGCAGGTGATGAGCTTCATAGCTGTGGGCTTCTCTCTGTTGACTTCACAGTTGTCCATGTCCTTTTATATGTGCGAGTAGGCGGCATTGCTGACACGGATGGCTGTCGTCACGGCGACATTTGCCTGTCATCCACTGGTGGCTGGCAGGTCATGCCTGGGTGTACTGCGGTGTATGCACCAGGCGGCGGGTCAGCTGTGACGGCGGTACGTGGACAAGCAAAAACAAAAACAACGGCGAAAGGTCACGACCTTTTAAACAACGGCAGCCATGGCGCAACCTTTGGAAGGTGTTGTGAGGCACGTGGCAAGGACCCGTCACGGTGTGCTTTTTTGTTAGCGCTTGAAAAAACGACGGCTGAACGTGTGTTTAAACAACGTGCGTTTCATATTTTGGTTGATGAGACTAATGGGACTCACATCAAGACATCGTCAGGTATGCCCAAAGCGCGATTACCTACGTTTATCGTTGCCAGTCTCTCAATTGCTGGCAAACGTTCAAAATATGCTTGAGGCTCCCACCTTCTTGATGGGACAACATCGATAATTAATGAAGAAACTGTGCGTATTTGTCAAGAGTTTTCCTAGACACACGTTCTTGACAGCCCGGTCCCTGAAACAGCAGAAGCGCAGAGACCAGCCTGGAAAGATGCTGACATCATGGGCCAGGATCTAGCAGGGTGGAACGGGGAGGGTCTGGAAAGAACGAGGTTCCAACTTGGATCCATCTCGAGGAGTACAAAAAGAAGTAATGTTTGGCTTGCATGAGCCCGATGTATCCAGTATAAGCCAGGATGTAAACTAATCTATTTAACGGCTTTATCAAGAGCCTTTGTCTAATGCAGTCCAGGATCTAGGTCGATCAAATAATTCAGAAAGAGCCACGACCTACTCTGCAATTCTCGTAAGACAATTAGGACCTGGTAAGCACTTGGGCACCTATTACGCAAAACTAGCTGGAATGGAAATCCAATTTAGTTAAGCAACGTATACCGTTCAAAGATATACAACCGTAGCTGTACCGGGTAAGAGTGATGTTTCGGTTTTGCGTTTTAAACAATTTTTTAAAGCAATGTGCAATCTTATAATTGTATTTCTTATTTCTGCACTTGGACGAAATGTGCGCATACTTCCCAACTATCAAGCATATATAGTTTCCGTGTGAGCTGTTGCAGGTGCTTCTTGTGTTGTACAAATAATGCTGTAAAAAGCAAGCCGCTTCACTAATTGCTGACTGCCAGCTTCTGGTCTGCGCTGAAAGCGAACTGCCAACCGCTTGTCTGCACTGAAGCGAATACTGTCTACGGACTACCAACATGTAGATGAATCGGTTTACTTTGCATAAGTACGCGCGACCTTGTGATACTTTCTTGCCATCTTCGCGAGTCCTATATGATTTTTCCGTCCTATTATATGCTCCCAAAGCTCCCCTACCATAGTCAGTTCAGGACCTTAGACTCTTGTGGCATATTAACGCCAGCCCGGGTGGCCAGCTGGACACCCCTCGCTCGAGCGGGGGTCAATTTGACACCCTCCCCTGAGATCTCAGGAACTTAGAGGGCTAGAGATACTCAACTCACAGGGTGTGTGGCCTATGGGAGGTCAAAGTCATGGCAAAGCCATGGCACGCAGCGAAGGGCATTTCTACGAAATCGCTAACGATTCCCTAGGTTGAGGATTGATTTGTAGGGAATCAGTAGCTTGTTTTTTTGCTGATGACATGGACCACGACAATCATGTTTCATGGTCTTTGTAAAGGTCAGTGTAAGTCACTTACCGAAAATGACCCACATCAACATTTTTTTTTAGGAGCATTGCGTTTAGCGTAATCCATGGTGTTTATTTGAATAGCAGAATAGAAGCAATCTCATAGATATGTCGCAACCTTGATCTTATGAAGGTCAAACAAGATCACTGACAGCAAGGATTTTTCGTAAAGACCAGGTATCCATCTTCACGGTGGGTGCATGAGGAGGTCTCAAGGCACATAGAACACCATCCTAGAGCGTATTGCCTTTGACCTTATTTGACTTCACGGTCGTGACTTAGGAACATCAAATTTGAACAAAAGTGAGCGCTCATCAAAGCATACTACCATGTAGACTTTGTTTTCTAGCTATCATATTGGTTAAGATCTTAGGGAGTCAAATTAACCTCCCTTCACCCGAGTAAAGGGTATGCGACCAGCCATTGGGACGCGTGTTAACTATGCATGGCCACCTCCTACAGCGTAGGTGATATCTTTGGGCACAAATAGTGATGTGGCAGTCAACAAACACTGCCTTTCTACGAGCCCGTGCATTGCAACAGGCGAAATGTTCGCAAAAAACTGCATCACTGTGAAAACACACCAACCGTCGTTTCCAACTTCCAGCATTGGTAGAGTTCTGAAGTCATGCTGACCACATTCGTGACGTGGCCATACGCGTCGTGGAGGGTGCGCCTTCCAGGACAAGCATTTCTGTACGGCTCACCAAAAAGGGTCATTTGGGTGATGACAGTCCGGACAGCGTCAGCCTGTTTACAGGGCAGCTGGGAGTCGTGTAATTGCATGTCACGCGGTACCCTGCCATTGTAAAAGCTTCTTTACAAACATGTGATGTTTGTTTAAAGTGTATGCAATAAACCATTTCCAGCACATCAGAGTCATTTCTGTTTTAGCAAGGTTTTTGTTATCTGTTTTGTGCGTTGTATATCTAGCTCCACATGTGAAGCTGTATTTTGAACCAGCGACACCGCACCATAAGTAGCTTGTTGGTATTTTGTTTTTTCATGAAACCACAGAGTAAACCATTTTTGAATGCAAATAAATTCATGTTGGGTTCGTAGCCTTCCATGGGCAGCAGACAAAACACCGTTTGGCATGCTAGGCTCTGCGGGGCCCATTAATCAGTGTCGTCAATATCATGTTTAGCACGCAGAATTAAGGCGTCTGGGCTTTTGTTTTGACGGGCACCCAACGCGCCATATAAGGAGCAGTAACACAGGAAGGTGGGCCTGTCCGGTGAAAGGAAAGCAGCAGAAAAGTTATATAGCTGTTGTGTAGTATGGATAGTGGAAGGTAGGAGTCAGCCTTGCTCAGCTTGACCTATGATGACTGTAGGCTGTAAAAGTAGCACTCTCAGACAGGGAGAGCTGCCATGTGTAGAGAGTAGCACATCCAGACAGGGCACACCGCCATGTGTAGACAGTAGCACACCCAAACAGGGAGCGGCGCCATGTGTGTAAGGTGTATGCGACTACAGACCAATGGTTATGTTCATAGAACGCGAATAACCGGGAATCAGACCTAAGTCACAACTGAGGGTCAACTTAGACTAGTCTCCTGCTACCTCAAAATGTCTCTTGAGAGTCTGGGAGCAACACTGTACCTAGGACAATGCGGTGATCAATGCAATCAAAGTTAAATAGCTATCAATAGAATGTGGCACGGTTTCCAGGTTACGACTACACGAATACAGTTATCCACTTTATGGCTCCTCCATCTAAAAGGTGCCTGAATTATTGGCCTATATAACCCATTATGTATTGAGGGTGCAACCAAACAATTCGAACGTTTGGCGAACATTGCTGTTTGGAGCGTACCGCGACATTCATGACACTGACGCAAATCATGCTATCTACAGACGAAAAATTGTCATGGAAGATTATGCCTAACTCCTCTCAAAGTCACTGCAACGATGAATGTTGTGTTCCTCCGTGGCATGGCAATGTGGTCTTGCTGGTGTGGCGTTCGGTAACAATTTGTTTTGATGGTCTTCCTTTATCTTTTACCGCATCTCGCGTTACCTTTTCTCCTTTGTCTAGACATTGGCTGTACAGTTGTGGGTAATTATATCTCTTAAGCTTGGAATCCGGTTATATTTTTGTCAGAGTAGAAAGTGGGTGCCAGCTTCGACGCAGAAATGTCTCCAGTTTCATATATTTACGTCCAATTTCTTGCGCCTGCACAAAAACCAAGCACACGAACGGGTGGAACAATTGTTCACTTTTACCCAGATTTTAAGTCCAAAAGGAAATCATTTGATCAGTGCCGTTACATCAAAATGCCCGAACCGACGGCAACACATCAGACCCTGTTCCAATCGTACGACAAGCTTGCGAATGTCAGCACGTTGCTGCCGACGGTGAGCAGGGGGCGGCACGACCGCTGGCCGACGTTCGTCCTCAAGCGGCGTCTTTAGATGCATCGGAGAATCCACTTGGCGGGAACATATTTGAAGAGCTTGTAGTTGATGATGGTGCACGTCGTACCGTATCTGCAAGCGGGCAGGCAGGGCAAGCGGCATATGCCACCGCAGCACTTCAGGGGACGGCGACATTGGTAGTCATGGTAGCACTGCGGTATCACTTTGCTTAAAGGACGGATGATGATCAGCAGCTTCGGGCAGCTTCCCGGCCTCCCAGCCTCTGGAAAAAAAGAGAAGACAGGTTGAAATCCCACCCTCTGGTGCTGGAAACTGCAGCGGGTAATGCAAGTGGTGATCAAATGTGTCCCCTGTTTGGTAGGCTAGAATCGGAGAAAACTATCTGTTGCTATAGGAGCAGACTTAGGGCTTCTGGCGTCAAGAACGCATGCAAATAAAAATCCGCGATGTAGTTGCAGCCTGGCTGCCCAGATCACACATATGCTGTTTGGAAAGTAAATTACCAACAATGGTTCTTTGGAAGTGTGATTATTTTTTAGATGGGTTTCGGGGCCCACCGCCTACTCTAAGCAGTACTTTTACCTGAGCCACGGCTCCAGTATCCCAATCCAGAAAAACAATTAGCGCCTAAGGCCATATGAACCCACTCAGCGTGTGGTGGGTGAATAAAGAGGCGGTGCTCTAACCAACGAAGTTTTTGCAGTTCGCATATCGCCTTAAAGTGGCCCCAGCAGGAGTCCAGCCTGAATTTTCGTGATTCCTAAACGTCTGCATTTGTAACCATTATCACCATTGGCTCTGAATGGTGGTCTCACTGCACTGAAATCTTATAAATGCACGACCCATCAATGTGCTCTCTACCCAATCAGCTAAGACATCTGAAATATGGTGACAACACGTATCTGCAGTGGGTGACACTAATCATCTTCCAACCAGCTTAAATTTTCGGGCTGAGACTCATTTGCTGTCATGTTTGTTGTTGATGAAGAATGAATGCTAGCAATTCCTACCCATTCGGTACCCAAGCCGAGGCAAACGTTCCACTCGATGCAAATGTTTGGTCGTTTTTGGTGTTGCTGAAAAGCTGGTGAAATGTATTGCAATTATTACTTTGGGACCAGAGTATTCACTACGCATAGCTGGTGCAAGGACCTTAACTCGGTCAGCCCTATAGAGAAGCTCTAACCGAAGAAAATGTTTTGTCCAGATATCTTAACTTCAGCCGCATAACTTCCCAAACCGGCCGCGCTATGCCAGCACCGATCGCCCAGTCACCGCTCTCAACGAACCACCTAATTGAGCAGTTACATGATCTCGAGTCCACGTGGTATGCTCTCCCCCACTGGTTAGATCCGGGGTCCCTCCAACTGGGTTACGAAAAAAGGAACTCGAGCCACTCGATAAATCGTGTTTTTTTCCGATGAGGGCCCACGACTTTCATTGAAGAAGCCGAAGTCAGGAAAACTCGGTGGTATTACCACGATTTTGTACCAACATTCGTCGCACCCTGTGATATGTTATCCTACCTTTCCTTTCATTCTCACGTGCAGCATCCCCGCATGCTCCCTCAACGCAGTTTCAACCTGATGGCAAAACACCGAACTCAACAAGAGCTGTGCTCTCCCTCCATGTCCACTCACCTACGGGGCTGCTCACCAGCACCAACGCCAGGACCAGTGCTGCGGTGATGAGCTTCATAGCTGTGGGCTTCTCTTGTTGACTTTACAGTTGTCCATGTCCTTTTATATGTGCGAGTAGGCGGCAATGCTGACACGGATGGCTGTCGTCACGGCGACATTTGCCTGTCATCCACTGGTGGCTGGCAGGTCATGCCGGGTGTATGCGGTGTATGCACCAGGCGGCGGTCAGCTGTGACGGCGGTACGTGGACAAGCAAAAACAGAAAAAACGGCGAAAGGTCACGACCTTTTAAACGACGGCAGCCGTGGTGTGACCATTGGAAGGTGTTGCGAGGCACGTGACAAGGACCCGTCGCGGTGTGCGTTTTTGTTAGTGCTTGAAAAAACGACGGCCGAACGTGTGTTTAAACAACGTACGTTTTATATTTTGGTTGATGAAACTAATGTGACTCACATCAAGACATCGCCATGTATGCCCAAAGCGCGATGACCTACGTTTATCGTTGCCAGTCTCTCAATTGCTGGCAAACGTCCAAAATATGCTCGAGTCTCCCACCTTCTTGATGGGAAAATATCCATGATTCATGACGAAACTGTGCGCATTTGCCAAGAGTTGTCCTAATAGCCCGTTCTTGACAGCCCGGTCCCTAAAACAGCAGAAGCCCAGAGACCAGCCTGGAAAGATGCTGACAGCATGGGCCAGGATCTAGCAGGGTGGAACGGAGAGAGTCCGGAAAGAACGAGGGTCCAACTTGGGTCCATCTCAAGGACTACAAAAGAAGTAATGCTTGGCCTGTATGAGCCCGATATATCCAGTATGAACCAGGATGTAAACTAATTTATTTAACGGCTTTATCAAGAGCCTTAGTCTAATGCAGTCCAGGATCCATGTCGATCAAATAATTCAGAAAGAGCCACGACCTGCTCTGCAATTCTCGTAAGACAATTAGGACCTGGTAAGCACTTGGACACCTAATACGCAAAAACTAGCTGAAATGGGAATCCAATGAAGTTAAGCAACGCATACTGTTCAAAAATGTAGGACCGTAGCTGTAGCGGGTAGGAGTGATGTTTCGGTTTTGCGTTTGAACCAATTTTAAAAAAAGCAATGTGCAATCTCATGGTATTTGTACTTCTTATTTCTGTACTTGGACGAAATGAGCGCATACTTCCCAACCATCAAGCACATATAGTTTCCGTGTAACCTGTTGCAGGTGCTTCTTGTGTTGTACAAACAATGCTGTAAAAACCAAGCCGCTTCTCTAATTGCTGACTGCCAACTTCTGGTCTGCGCTGAAAGCGAACTGCCAGCCGCTTGTCTGCATTAAAAACGAACACTATCTACGGACTACCAGGATATAGGTGAATCGGTTTACTTTGCATAAGTACGCGTGACTTTGTGATACTTTTTGCCATCTTCGTGGGTCCTATATGATTTTTCCGTCCTATTATATGCTCCCAATGCTCCCGCACCATAGTCAGCTTAGGACATAAGATATTTGTGGCATATTAACACGCGCGCTGGTCGCGGGCTGGATACCCCTCGCTCGAGCGGAAGTCAGTTTGACGCCCCCCCCCCCCCCTGAGATCTCAGGACCTTTCAGAGCTAGATATATTAAACTCAGGGTGTGTTGACCCGTATGTGCACTAACTGAGATCAAAATTTGAGGTTCCAAGGTCATGACCTTCGTGTCAAATGGGGTCAAATAACGGCGAGTTATATGCTGGCTTCCAAAGGACCCCTGAAACCTAGATAACTGTTCTAAACAAAAAAATCACGTGCTCATCTACGGTCAGTGATCTTGCCTGACCTTTTGAAGGTCATGGTGACCAAAAGAAAACAACGCCGCACTGGGTTTTGCATATGGATAAGCGACAAAGGTTAGCTGATTGTATGTCCCTTAGAATAAAGTGTTGACCTGGGTCATTCTGGGTAAGTGAACTATGCTGATCTTTAGGAAGCCTATGGAAGGTGTATAATAGGGTTCCTGTTCTCAATAGATTCGAAATAAGCACAAAAAACTAGGCCATACAGCAAGCCCATGAGTAAAAAACATGTTGATTTTGACTTTGGTTTCACCTTTAAATCTGACCCTAGGTCAATATAACTTGTTGATTTATTTGTTTTGTTGCCTCAGAAAGCATCGCAGAGATGTATGTCTTCGTCTTGCACTCCTTTGACGGATCAGATTAATCTATTCGCTAGAAATTGCTTTCGCTGAAACCTTGAACTGACATTGACTAGCCAAAGGTCAACGACCTTACAAGGTGCATCTACATTTGTGATGACAGGCAATCCGCTTTTCAGTTGCCTACAGCTACGTAAACTTTGGCGCGGATACACGGCGCCGTTCGGTCACCATTTTGAAAAAAGCTTTCGGTGGGGTCAACTTGACTCCCACCCGAGCGCGTGTTAAGACCATAGATAGGTGATTCTTAACTACAAGTTGAAATGTTGTGTTTATGTATCAAATGTCCATAGTCTCTTGGAATGTGTCGTTGGCCCTGACCAATGCCAACCATCTGGCGTCTTTACAGCCCTGCTTGTTCTATTCCTAACCAGGAGCAATGGCTGCCAACTCTAAACGCACCACAGCATCGTCCGCGGCTCTTCCGCGCTGGTCATTAGAGCTCCTACTGCTTGACAATGGAGGCCAGTCTACCAGAACGGGGTCATTTATTTAATTAACAACCTGAAAGCTAGTAACAATCGATAGATTCCAAGGATAACAATCCGTTAGTACTTTCTCAAAAGCTCTGTTTTGTATCGGTTTGGAAAAGCCAGGGGGGAGGTTGCATCACCCATCCCCCCTATAAGTCCCCGTTAAGAAAAACGACATATAAGGGTGAGGGTTGAAGAGTCAGATCAGGCCATTTGTATTTTGCGGGAGAAAGGCTAGGCTTTTCATGGATCTCAGATCCATGAAATCAGATCTTTCTCTTCCTGAGATCTCAGGGGAGGCTAGGCCTCCCCTGAGATCTCAGGAACTTAGAGGGCTAGAGATACTCAACTCCCAGGGTGTGTGGCCTATGGCAGATCAAAGTCAAGCCATGGCACGCAGCGAAGGGCATTTCTACGAAATCGTTTACGATTCCCTAGGGCTAGGATTGATTTGTAGGGAATCAGTAGCTTGTTTTTTTTTGCTGATGACATGGACCGCGACAGTCATTTTTCATGACCTTTGTAAAGGTCAGTGTAAGTCACTTACCGAAAATACCCACGTCAATTTTTGGGGGGAACATTGCGTTTAACGTAATCCCTGGTCCTTATTTGAATAGGAGAATTGAAAAAATGTCGCAGGTATTTCGTACTCTTCACCTTATGAAGGTCAAACAGGATCACTGACATCAAGGATTTTTCATATAGAACAGGTATTCATCTTCACGGTGAGGGCATGAGGAGGTCTCAAGGCACATAGAACACCAATCCAGAGCTTGTTGCCTTTGACCTTATTTGACGTCAAAGTCGTAAGCTAGGAACCTCAAATTTGAACAAAAGTGAGTTCTCATCAAAGTATATCTACCATGTAGACATCGTTGTCTAGCTATCATATTTGTCGAGATTTTAGGGAGTCAAATTAACCTCTCTTCACCCGAGCAAAGGGTATGCGACCAGCCACCGCGACGCGTGTTAACTATGCATGGCCACCTCCTACAGAGTAGGTGATATATTTGGGCACAAATAGTGATGTGACAGTCAACAAACACTGCCTTTCTACGAGCCCGCGCATTGCAACAGGCGAAATGTTCGCAAAAAACTGTATCACCGTGGAAACACACCAGCCGTCGTTGGCAACTTCCAGCATTGGTAGAGTTCTGAAGTCATGCTGACCACATCCGTGACGTGGCCAAATGCGTCGTGGAGGGTGCGCGTTCCAGGACAAGCGTTCCTCTACGGCTCACAAAAGAGAGTCATTTGGGTGATGGCCGGACAGCTTCAGCCTGTTTACAGGGCAGCTGGGAGTCGCGTAATTGCATGTCACGCTGTATACCCTGACATTGTAAAAGATTATTTGCAAACATGTGATGATTGTTTAAAGTGTAGGCAATGAACCATTTTCAGCACAACGTCAGAGTCAGTTCTGTGTTAGCAAGGTTTTTGTTATCTGTTTTGTGCGCTATATATCTATCTCCATATGTGAAGCTATATTTTGAACTAGCGATACCGCGCCATAAGTAGCATGATGCTATTTTATTCTTGTCATGAGACCATACAGCGAACAATTTTGGATTCAAATAAATTCATGTTGGGTTCGTAGCCTTCCATGGGCAGCAGACAAAATCCGTTTGGCATGCTAGGCTCTGCGGGGCCCATTAATCAGTGTCGTCAATATCATGTTTAGCACGCAGAATTAAAGCGTCTGGGCTTTCGTTTGACAGGCAACCAACGCGCCATATAAAGAGCAGTAACACAGGAAGGTGGGCCTGTCTGGTAAAAAGAAAACAGCCGAAAAGTTATATAGCTGTTGTGTAGTATGGATAGTGGAAGCTAGGAATCAACCTTGCCCAGCTTGACCTATGATGACTGTAGGCTGTAAAAGTAGCACCCTCAGACAGGGAGAGCCGCCACGTGTAGACAGTAGCATATCCAGACAGGGCGCGCCGTCGTGTGTAGTCAGTAGTACACACAGATAGGGAACGCCGCCATGTGCAGACAGAAGCCCACCCAAACAGGAAGCGCCGCCACGTGTGTTAAGTGTATGGGAATACAGATCAATGGTTACATTCGTAAAACACGAATAACCGGGAATCAAAACTAAGTCACAACTGAGGGTCGACTTAGACCAGTCACCTGCGGTTACCTCAACATGTCTCTTGAGTGTCTTGGAGCAACACTGGGCGTAAGGCAATGCGGCGATCAGTGCAATACAAATCAAATTGCAATCAATAGAATGCGGCATGGTATCCAGGAAATGGTACAGATATCCACTTTATGGCTCCTTTATCTAAAAGGGGCCTGAATGTTTGGCCTAACTAACCCATTATGTATTAAGCGTGCAGCCGAACTATGCGAACGTGTACCGAACATCGCTTTTGGGGGTGAACCGCGACATTCATGATACTAACGCAAATCGTGCTGTCTCTAGACGAATAATTTTCATGGAAGAGTAAGCCTAACTCCTCTTGA